AAATACCTCTATGCTTTCACAAAACAGTCTAAAATACTTTTCCTTCATCTGCAAGTTGTGCAACGAAATTCCGATGATTTATGACAATTTCTTCTTTTTCTCTCAATATATTTTTTATCCAAAGAATACTCAGGTCAGGCAAAAGCATCGGGACACAAAGATTTTTTGAATTCGGTTCGTGACAAGAAGAGATAAAAGTAGTTCTTTAAGCGTTCCGATATTGTTATCCCAACTAAGATATATGTGCTCAGTATATTAAAAATTCTAAGGAGTGTCTTTTTTTTATTATAGATAAATACTTCGGATCCATTAACATGGAATGTAGACGATGTTTCACTTTGGTTACACAATTTTATTTCGAATGATGATATAGTTAATGATTTTAAAAGTAAGTTGTGTAAAATACCTAATGAATTGTTTTTATGATCAGCAGATCATCGTTTTTTTACCTTTTTATTTCTCTATCTTGGATCTTTAATGGTAAAAAAGAACTTTTTAATTAGTGCTTGTCTACTGGAAGATATATTTCTAATACTTTAGTACCCATACTGGGTGATCGAATTTATTTTATAATTTCAGATAATAGATAAAAAATTACAAATAAACCAACGATTTTTGTCTTCTTTTATTTTGAGATAGAAATATTTATAAATATGTCAAGTAGAGGTTTTTTATGCTCAATTTGTTTGACTAATCGATCATTTAGCAAATTTTCGGATTATTTTCGACATATAACCTTGTACCGTGCAAATGAACCTCACTTTCGATTAATATGTAACTTGTCAGACAGCTGTGGTACGCTGTACAAAACATTTATTTCGTACAAGGCACATATTCATCGTCATCATAAACATCTACTTGATCCTCTATTCCAAGAACAAGAAGATAGTGTAATTAATAATGCTGAAAATTTTTCAATCGACCAGTCCTTAGCATCAGCTGTTTATTACACTACAATCGAGAATAACATGCAAGATCTTATATACGAAGATGGTGACATTGATGCTGATGATGATTGGCAAACATCCGCATCTACTTCCACCGTTTTTCAGCAACATGAAAAAATTACATTTAAGACAATTCAAAAACAATACACACTCTTTTTACTCGAAATGAGAGAACAACATATGTTACCACAAGGGGTAATTCAAAATATTACAACAAGTATCCTGAACTTATTTGATATGACGATCGATCTTATAGAAGAAAAAGCAAAAGAAGAAAATATTAATGAACAACAATCATCAACAACAATGATATCTACAAACAGCATTAGAAAAACCATCAAGCAAATTGAAGAATTAATTACTTTCTCAACAAAAAATGAATATCAATTTATTCAATCTTGCAAAAATTTCTTTGATTATACACCACCTATTGAAAACCTTATCTCATCAAAAGGTGAAAAAAAAGAATATTCGTATCATGTATCAATTAAAGATTCCTTGAAAAAGATATTAGAAAAAGATGAAATGATACCGTTACTTATAAATAATATTCAAGATCAAAATAAAATAATGCAAGCTGATTCCGATTTAATGTTTTCTTTTCGGCATGGGATAAGAGGCAATAAAATTAATAAAAAATCATTCTTGATTCAATTATACGTTGATGGAATCGGTGTAACAAATCCAATAGGGCCAAGAAAAGGTCTTCATAATATTACTATGGTCTATTTTCTTTTGGAAGATATACCAGATATATTTCGATCAACATTACAATGTATAAATTTGGCAGCTATTTGTTATACGAAGTATTTAAATAATAATGAAAAAATGAAAAA